TTAAGCGAATCCACAGACCATTTTTAAACACTCTATGGAAAGAGAAAAACATCACTTGAACGATTGAAGGAAAGATTTAATAAAAATACCTTAATCATAGTACTTTCTCAGTCGTCTTCGATTAAAATTGTATAAAAGATGGATTGCTGCCTAAACACACATATACACACTCACTCACGCACCCACACAAACAAACACACACGCGCGCGCAAAAACACATATATACACGCACACACACACACACACATATATATATCATATACGTACATACAAATTAACTGCTCGTGTGTGTGGTGTGGCTGTGTGACTGTTCTTGAATCCGTCTACACATATACGGAACTTCTAAGTAAATAAATAATTACGCACACCCTGTGTGAGAGAGAGAGAGTGACAGAGAGAGAAAGGGAGAAAAAAAGAGAGAGAGAGAGAGAGAGAGATCATTCGCCATGATACAAAACAGATCTGGTAGAGAGAAATCACAGAAAGCGCCCTAACAAAAGCAGACCCAATATCCAGAATGGCTTCTTTTTGGAGCAGCTCTTAATTTATATTTCTGGGAGGCAAGGCAGTTTACATTGTCTTCTCTTGTAATGCCAAGAAGAACGCAAAGTCAGTGAATCGCCATAAATCTCCTGCTACCGGCGCCTGGTTTTCTGGAATCTCAGTTTACAACAAATATTCCTGGAAGGAAAAGACAAGAAGAAGCAAAATCTAACGAGCATTAATAAAGACATATACTTGAAGTATTATTATTATTAGTAGTAGTAGGAAGTAATAGTAGTAGTAGTAATCGTAGTAGTAATACTAGTAGTGATAATAATAATAATTCTAACATCACTGCCACCAACAACAGCCTCAAGGACAATAAAAAAAGAAACATAAAAGCAAGTTATAGTAGATTTTAGATTCTCCCAGAACCACGTTTCAATGTGGTTATTTTGCTTTGAATCTTTTTCTTTTTTTCTTTTCCTCCTGGCTTCAGTATCATTTTTGTTTTGCATCTGCATTTCATTCTTACAAGTATTACTTATTCTTTGCTGGATTTTATGGTCAAGAATATAAACATCGGACAAAGGATTGGGATTCAAATTACTTTTCTTTTTCTATGGACCTGAAGAAAATACACACACACACACACACACACACAATTGAACGGGATATGAAGAAATCAAATTGACAACTAAGAAAAGCGAAGAAGAATTGAATCAGGCTAGGGAACAATGAAATCTCTTTGTAGACATGAAATTAAAAGAAAGATAATTACCAAATTGAAGACACCATTCCACATAAAGAAGAAACAAAACAAAAAATCTTAAAAAGACTAGAATTTGAATACTGGATGTCTAGAGATACACCCAACTCAATAGTAAGATTGGCGTAGCACAATCTCCCTTGCTCCATTCTCCACCACTAATTTAATGTTCACCTTCATTTAGGAATTGTTTCATTTATTCATTCTCTTAAAAATTCTGTCCATCTTACCTAAACATAAAAAAAAAAATCAAGAAGAAAACTGACAATGATGAAATTTATTATTTTTTGCTAGTATTTCCCTAAGTTTTTATATTCATAACACGTGAAAATATGTATTTACAAGTAAGATTCTAAGAGCTCAACTAAGCCAGTAATCGAAATAAAAATAAAGATCTCTTATATACAAAATGATTGAAAGGATTACGTCAATACGTCTATATTTTTATAATTGGCATTGTATCAAAGCAATCTGAATAAATAATCCAATTTGATAAAGTTCCGATTTGATGATCGATTACGAATTAATCATTGGCAGATTGGCACAGGCTAATATATATTAAAACCCTGACTTGTAACTAGTATTTCTGGAAAGAAAAGAATTGGAAATTAATCTTGGAATAATTGGTTACTTTCTTTTTTTTAAATAATGATTTGTTTCTATATTTTCTCTCAACACAAGGCTCAAGATACACTCAAGGTTGACGGGTGAATTCTAAATAAATACGATTAATGAGGTGTGTTTCTAATTTGAATGCAAGAAAATGGAGTAGGAAGTGAATACTATGAGAACAAATCAAGACTGAAGTGTTCAGGGAAGATAACACGTGAAAAACTCTTTCACAAAGTCATAATGTTTTTAGAAAAAGTTGTTTCGTGGATCTACATTTAGACACTGAAGAGATAAGTGTGATTAGAGTCTGTGTAAATAGCATGGTATGCCCTAGCGGAAAAGGTCTGAACTGGTGAAGCTAAAGAGTTCAGAGGTGTATTTGCCATGGAAATAACTCAAGAAAGAGGCTTGTAACGCTGGGTCTGGAAAGAGGCTGAAGAGATAAGAATCTACGTAAAAGACTTTTATATCTGGAAAGTGAGAATTAATCAATTCCATTCCAGATATGGCAGCAATATTCGGTTAATTTGACGCTTGTGAAAAACTAACATGGCAAAAGGCGTCAGATACTTTTTGAAGCCTTACATTGAGCTGACCATTTCCCCAGCAACCTTAAAAATGTGTTGTGCATGAGATCTGGAGCACATTTGTGGCCCAATAGACGTTCAACTGATTGTGCTTCATTACGAGTGAAATATAGGAGCACGTTCTCATTCTGACCATAAGACCCGAGTTCGAATCTCCCCACAGTCGATTTGTCAGGAAAGAGACTTCCTGAATGATATCGGATTGGAGGGGTCGACCCCATCGTGCGACACCTTTAGAAAGTGCCTGATAACCATACCACATATTGACCCGAGCCTTGTGAGTGAAATAGGGTAGACGGAACCTTTGTGTACCGTCGATAGCTGTGCTAGCATGAAGTCACAAGTCATCGTGGACGAGGGCTTGAGCGTACTCGCCTTGTTCAAATCACGTTAGATAGCACGCTCTTTCAAAGAAACTGTAACTAAGGTCTGTTCAGCATACATGCAGTATAAACCACGGGTGGGCCCTGTGGGTGTTGATTAAACAGAAATGCGCCTGAGCAAGCGTCTGCAATAGGGATTGGATAGCCTCGAATACGAGTGGACAGCTATACATATACATGCATATAAGAGTGAAATCGTTCATCATTACTGGAGAGCATTCTGATCGCTAATGAGGAAACGCTTAATAATTATGTCCTTTTGCCAAATGACAGTTAACATGAAATAACAATATTTTCATTCGAAACTATATCGAACTTTATTTGTTGTTGACTTTATTTAATCAGAGTTTGTAGGATAATAAAGTTGGTATATGAAACTGAGAGTCCCAAAAGTATCCACTTATTAACATACTCTTTCCTGTCTATTTTATACGTCTTCTGAAGCATTTTCTTTTTTTTTTTCGTTTTGGGAAGATCTGTCGCCGCTAGAATTCTGATTTAGATTCCTCCGATTTCTGGATTTTACAGTTGAAATCGTTGTTAAAAATGAGATAATCTCTTCCCATAAAAGACATTAAAGACAGCACAGTAAAAAGGCTGATGAAAGCTGAAGGATGATTTGGTCAGCTTTTTTGCAAAATTAAACAATTAATGGAGTGACTTCACAATGGGAATATTTTGAAGGGGACTAAGTTGTCATTGCCTTGGGTGGGCTACAGCTTTTTGATATTAAATCTGAATTCTTTTGGAAAGAATACGTATATTGAATAGATGCTCTAAAATATATTTTCGGTATATATGGCGCACCACTAGAATGTAAGATATAATGAAAAAGAAAAAGTTGATAAGATTACAAAGTAAATTAGAAATCGCAAGAAGAATTTAAGCCTGGCAACGTTTAAAATCATTTTTTGAAACGTATCGAAACATTGAATCGAATCTGTAAAATGTTAATCTTGCTAAGAATTGGAAAAGAAAGATCACCAAAAAGACAATTCAGAACAAATTAATAAGAACCTTAAAAAATAGGCTGGCCATTAACGATCTAAAGTATAAGTAAAGTAGTCGTAGTTGTCGGAGTGGTAGTTGTAGTAGTAGTAAATGTTTGTAGGTTTCCCATGAGAGGAAGTTTTCTGATGAAAGTTGTAGAAATAAAACTCTTTTTGAACCAGTGAAGAAAGATTTACAATTCAATGTGGCCGTCGCTCAGGTGACATTTGCAGAGAAGAATTCAATTTCAGATAGGAATAAAAGATAAACACTTGCCAGCAGTGAAGAGGTCAGGTCAATTGATGAAGCTCTGGAAAAAGAGAAAATAAAATACAAAGATCACAGAAAGACTGAATGAAAGAGAGATAGAGAGATGGAAAAAAGAGAGAGGAGAATAAAAACAATTAATTTCAAGAAAGGCTAAAAGCAAGAGAAAGAATAAAAAAGAGAGAAGTCTGATTATAAAACAGCAAATCCTGTGAAAATGGTGAGAAAAGAACGAATAAATAAATGAAAATATAAAAGAGGAAGGAAACGGAATGAAAAATGAACAAAAAAGTAAAATGAAGAAGCGTGTGAACGAAATATTTAAAGAGGAAAGGAGAAATAAGGAGGGAAGGAAGAAAGCGGTTAAAAGAAACACAAAAGAAAGAAAGACAGAACAAATCAAAGAGGGTAAAAGAAGAAAGAATGATAAAGACTGTAAAAACGCTGAAAAAGAGTGAAGATAAAAAGAAAAATAGAAAAGAGACAAGGAAAAAAAAGGTAAAAGTAAAACTGATGAAAAAGAAAATGGCCGTTCAGCGCTGGCCAGTTTATGCGCGAATCATGAGCGAAGCAGCTGTTTTTTCTCATTTCCTTAGTATAGAACTTGTCTACTTCAAGGCGTGTTGATGGCTTCCACAAGGTAACTAAGGAAAGGTATGTATAAAATCTTTCGCCAGACATTCATGATGTATAGGGTCCACTGATAAGAAAAAAAGGCATCGAATTAAAATTTGGTGTGTACGACTCTCGTCAGCCAAATAAGAAGAGATGAAAAATAGTTGATGGGTGAAGAAACCGCTTGAAATGATTATTCGGACGAATATCCTGCTTCTTATCGTTTTCAACATTGAATTTAAAACGGTTTGGTACCCAAACATTATTAGGCGTCTTGTAGATATTCAATCGCATCTCTTTTCTAGTACTATTTTATGAGGAATAGCTTTTTGGAACGAAACTTAAATAATGATTCAATTCTTGAGGAGCTATCTATGGAAAATATTTCCTCTAAACGACGTAAGTTCTTAGAGATTAAATAGTAAACGAGAAAGTGAACAACTTTTTAGAAATAAAATTTACAATTCCATAATTAAACCAACGAAGTCCATCGTTTTCACCAAACGTAGTTTTCTCGAAAATAGGTACAAATATCTCCAAATTCGAGGTATTGAGTAGATTAAAGTTTACCGACACATGATAATCATTACTTGGACATCATCTTAAAATTGGTGTTTTTATTTTTTTTTTACATCAAATGCGATACAAAAGCAGAATTAGTAATGGCGGTTAAACTTCTATTTATGATAAATCAAAACTGAATTGGGTCATGTAAAAGATTTGAATATTTTTCTATATATTAGTAAAATGAGAAATATTTCGTTAATAATCCTTCCTGTCCAAAAAGAATTAATGCTCAATATAGTGCTGTATATTTTAAAAATTGAAATCAGTGATAAAATGTTAGTAGCTATATTTCATACATTCTTTTAAAATTAAAATAAAACAAATAAGGCACTACGCTAGTAATTTCTCATATTAAGAATGCAAAAGTATTTTTATTTTTTACAATTAAATGTATGCATTAAATTTATTTGCGATAGCAGAATTTATAAATATCTTATAAAAATAATATATATATATATATATATATATATATATATATATATATATATATATATATATATATATATATATTAACTACGAACAAAGCCACAATGTGCTAACCGTATTCGGAAATTAAAAATCTCTCTACCACACACTAATACATACACAGAAAGCACTCACCAATTAAACTGAAAATCGAATCATCCTTGATAATGGCTAAAGGTATAGCCGAAAGTGCTCGGAAATATAAAACATTTAGACTGTTCTTACACACCCTTTGTCCAAAAAAAAAAGCTCTTGTCAGAACACAAGAAAAATTAAATAAAAAGCTTAACCGTAGTACCTTGTCTGTCGTTTTCAATGAAACATGCATATATATATATATATATATATATATATATATATATATATATATATATATATATATATATATAAATAAAGAATTGTGAAATTTGAATGATTACAAATGTGTGTGAATAAGAGTTTGCAACAAGAATTGTCTACTTGCTCTTGTAGATGGAAGTGTGGTTGGAAAACGAGTAGCTGTCTGTTACATATATACGCAGCAAATATCTATTTTTGAAAGCTTAAACACACATCAGAGAAAAAGTGAGGGTTTATCTTGAAAATAGAGACGTAGTTTTAGTACTAACGTGAAGGAAAATTCCATAAGTCTACCAAATTATGTTAGTGTATTTCGCTCTTTTTTTTAAATGTCCTGAATTTTAGTAATAATTGGGACTTTTTTGACAGCTTCAAACACAATTCAGCTTTTCAGAAACTGCAATAAATGGCTGACATGTATAAATTTTGATGGATTGCTTCCAACTCAAAAGCGGTTTTTCAATGTGTATTACATTACTCGGAACACAATGTATGCAAACGTAACAGGAACAGAAATAAACAAAAATGTAAATGGTTGGCAGTATACGGTGTAGGAGAGATTGTAAAATTAGAAAATACAATATGAACTACAAAGGGCTGGAAATTAGGGAGAGCCATGATCGCCAACGTCTTGAAGGTGCATGGCACTTAGAAGAAGTAGAAGAAGAATATGCCTGCCCAGTGTATTCTTTATGGCATTGCAGAAAGTTTATCTTATAGATTCCGATTCTTTGTTCATTATATCTTTTGGCAGACCAAATCTTAGATTTTCTTGGAGTTGTCATTATATTTTTATTATCTGGCTGTGTTAAATGCTTCTCGAGTGCAATATATTTTTGTAGGATTACTAACATGGCATTTTGATAGTTCTTACGTTTTTAATCTTATGGATTTTCTATGTCTTTTAACGTCGAGAATGAAATGATGGGAGTAGTGGATAAGATTTAAAATTACTCAAAAGTAAACAATACCGAATTTTATGATCGAAATATTATTTCACTAATAAAAATGTCTGATGAACTTAAGTAAATAACGAACAATGCTGAATTTATAAAAGTTTTTTTTCCTTACTTATTCCTTATTTAATCGTTTTGTCGCATTTATTCAATATTGTCAACACGTAAATATAAGTATATACTCTGATATTTCTAATAATATCATTCGGTTAATATGCTTTTATTACCAGAGAACTAATTTATGTGAACAAATCACAGAATATATTCAGTGGTGATAATAAGTATTCAAATTCAGTGTACGCTTCAAAAGGAATTTATTTTATTTGAGCAGTATCATATTTTCTCAACCTTTTTTCCTCCTTTTATATTACTAGGCCTTTCATCCGGCTCTTTATTTTATCCCCTATTTTATATAAAACTATTTAGCCGCTCGTATGAGTTGTCTATGGTATTCTTAGCATCTGTCGGCAGAAGCACATCACTGTTGCTTTAAGTCTCATCTTTCGATGAAACAAATGATGAAAAAGGTAAAGTTTTTCCCCTAATTTATTAATGTTTCTTCTTTGTCCTGTAATAAATGCCTTATGTTGTTAGACAGATGGGTAATTCAGAACGTAAATTCTAAGCGTTGATCTTCTGCCAAAGTTAAATGGGTGGGCACAGCCCTTTTGCCGGCCGGATTGTGTCGGGTGATAGCGGCCTATCTGCGGATATAGAGAAACCCTCTCGACAAATTGGCGACTAATTAATTTGCTATTAAAATAACAGTTGCTTTTTTTTCTGATTCCTCTGTTTATCAGCAGTGGCAGAAGCAAGATTTTATTTTTTTGTCGGATGTTTTTTTGCTAAACCTCAATTTGTGTGTTTTCTTTTGCTCAAAAGGTTTGTTTTGCTTTCTAATGGAAAAACCGAGAGAAGTTTGCCTCACATTGTCTCGGGATTGTGATCCCAATAAATTAGAAAAATATATTAAAGAACGTTAGAATTTGAGAAGAAGAAATGGAAGGAAAATGAACGAAGAAAGAAAGAGAATGGAAAGTTAGAATAAATGAATAAATGCTAAAAAGAAATAATGAAGGATAAAATAAAAATTAAAGAGTTTTATAAATGAAGGTACGAGAAGAACGTTGTGTGTAAAGATATTTCAATTTTAAACGAAAATTATCGAATCAGATCGAAAAATTAACTACATTCAATGGAAAACTAAATAAAGAAAAATTTATAATGAATTAACTGAAAAAAATTTAAATTGCATTTGATAACAGCAAAACAAGTTTAACGCTATGACAATTTTATCAATGTCAACCATATCTTCACCTTTTTGTCCAAAGAAAGTCTAGAAAACTTAGAGTATCTCGAGATTTCTTTGTGTCGAAATAAAAACTTTCCAAATAAGATTATTTATTCATAAGACTTTGGTACATGTTGTAAGCTCTCGACGAATCAGTTAAAAAGGGATTGAATTAAATAATATTTGTTACTAAGATGGCAAACGGCGACAAATACTGACAAATATTTTAGAAATTAAATTCTTACCGCCTTACATGAGACACAAAATGGAATATTTACTTAACAATGTAATGGTTTTCTTCAAAATCAATGTAAAATTCTGTTATTCGGCTTGTAGACCAGTTAAGTAAATGTGTTGGCTATTTTTAAAAAAAAATAAGACCACTATTCTAGAGTGAAGTAAAAGTTATAAGTGACTGCTGTAAAATAATTCTTGTAAAATAAAATTTGAATATAGAGCTTCCACGTTTAAACAATAGCTTTCAGATTTTTTGACTTCAAACTGGGATTAACACTAAAATTATGATGCTTATTATTTTATTGAGATCTTGATCATGAAAGATGGTCCAAATTATTGCAATGAAAATCAACAAAAAGTAATATAAACAGTATTCAAAATGAATAATACTTGGCAATGCTTCATCTCATAAAAATCCAAAATAATATTGCTAGTATCAACACTGCACTAAAATATTAACCGCTTCCAGTCAAGGGTTAATCCTGCTTTACATATTTTTTATTTCCAACCAACTCTTTCATTTGTATCCTGCACCTGAAATATCACCTTTTTATCAGTAACACTTGAGGGGCTCTTAAGCCTTGTATTAAGAGAACTTTAGTATAGATAGTAAGAAAAGTAAATAATGGATGATAACGAATCATCTAAATTATATACAATGTTACTGATAAATAAATTACTGTTAAATTAAAAATAATATTACGATTTAATTAAATATAATATTGCTACTATTAAAACAAATAAGATAATAAAATAAACATGACATAAGTACTGGCAAAATATCAGTGATTGGTGACAATACTTCGTCCAAATAAAAAATAACAATATTAATAATACGAATATATATAAAAAGCAAATACTATTAAGATGGAAGAAATACTATTGAAATATTAAGAAGGGTTGTCTATTTTTATGGTAATATTAGCCACATAAATAAAGATTAGGGATTCATTGCTCAAACAAACAATGCTACTTTCTGTTAAAATCTTTCTCTTAAAATAATTTTCAGGGAAATAGGTTTCTCACGTCCACTAACTGTTATTGTTCCTTCCAGTATTAACGGGGGTTTCTTTCCTAACCTTTTGTTTAAAGTCGTGGGGAATATTAAACTCTTGATTGTATCATTATTTACTCTTAGACTCTTAGACTTACATGCGTTATCCATTTTGGGTGTTGTGTTGTTCAATATCGTCAATATATTTTTACGCTGTTCAATCTTACCAGAGTTACAAAAGATAGATAAGTTGTACGTGATTTTCTTAAAAAAATATTAGGCAAGGAAAATCATGTCAGATGACACACACGCAGTTTTAGTTTAGTTTAATATATATATATATATATATATATATATATATATATATATATATATATATATATATATACATATATATATATATATATATATATATATATATATATATATATATATATATATATAG